ATATATATATATATATTTTATTGTTTTCAGTAAAAGTTTACATAGGAAAAGAGTTCCCATTTGACAGTTTCTACACAATTTGTTCAGTGACATTAGTTACATTTTTCACAATGTGTCTTCATTCTCTTTAATTGCATTCTGGTTGTTACATTTCCAGTACTCTAGTTTCCCTGCCCCCCTGCCTTCTAACAACATGCTTCTTGAGGTTATTTATGTCTGTGTATCTGTCGGATGGAGATACTCTATCATGGTGTATTAGTGCACATCTTTTCCCAGCTCCACATTCATTCACAACATCTTGGTTGTGTGGAATGAGAATATTGAAAGTTGACAGATGCTACAGAGTAGGGATTTCTTTTATTTCAGTAAGTTGGTTTTTAAACATTTACTCACACAGCACTGATATATTCCCATTACCAACCTCTGCTTTGGATACAAACATACCATGTCATGATTTGACCTAAATACCTTAAAGAAAAATTCTTCTGTGGAAGGACCTGAGATTCACCATGACTCTTTTATCTGACAACCCCGCCCCTCAACTGTGGACAACCAAGGCAGGATCTAATCACCTCCTGTTCTTTCTGGTTTTGTTCCACTCCCATCAGGACTGTGCATCATCGAGTCTGTGTTTGAGGATGAAGGCTCGGCAACCCTGATGTCTGCCAACTACCCTGATGGCTTCCCTGAGGACGAACTCATGACTTGGCAGTTTATCATACCCCTACACCTGCGGGCCAGCGTCTCCTTCCTCACTGTCAACGTCTCCAACTGCGTGAAGAAGGAAGAGCGGGTTGAATACTACATCCCAGGCTCCACCACTAATCCTGAGGTGTTTAAGCTAAGGGATCAGCAGCCTGGGAATATGGCGGGGAACTTCAACCTCTCGCTGCAGGGCTGTGACCAAGATCCCCAAAATCCAGGGATCCTCAGACTGCAATTCCAAGTCTTGGTCCAGCACCCACAAAATGAAAGCAGTAAGTGAAGCCCCACTTTCCTTTCCCCTCCTCCTCCAATATCTACCTTCCTTACTTTCTAGGTAGCCTGCTTGGGGTGAGGTTCCCTTCCTGTTTCTCATCTGCAGCTTCTGGAAAAGTTGGACTCTGAACCCTGTAAGAGTTTCAGGAAGTGGGTTGCTAAGCAGTATGACCGGCCTATTGGTAAACACCTGGCGGGAGGTTCCCTTTTAGTATGATAAGGAACAGGCAAGATCTCCCATTCAGGGTGCTGTTGTCATATTAGCAGCCATCAAATGGACCCCAAATCATTGCACTCCCATGCACAATGGAGTGAAACACTACCTGGTCCTAGTTATGGTACTAAGTTGTTTTTGATCAAAATATTGGGGGCTTATCTTCTAGATCTTGTATCTTGACCCTACGGTGAGAATCAAGATGTCACCAGTCCCATTAGCAATGATAACTAAGACTTTCTTACTGACTGTGCAGCCCTAGACTCTATAGCTATGGGCACACATTATACATCCCAGGCTCTATGATAAGCATGCCATTTACACAATCTCAACTAATCCTTTTTATAATGCTTTACTTACCCACTGCCATTGAGTCAATTCTAACTCATAACTATCCAATAGGACAGAGTGGAACTGCCCAGAGGGTTTCTAAGGTTATAAATCTTTATGGAAGCAGACTGCCTCAACTTTCTCTCCTGGAACAGCTGGAGGGTTTAAACACAGCTTGTCAGGAGCAGAGCAAGCTCAAGACCAACAGCCTGTGGTCTGAACCTACTGAACCCCAGATAGATTGATGAGAATTAGGTTGAACGTCATTCCTCAAACATTTACTAAGATGCTAAGAGCCTAGAGAAGGGGAGTCAGTGCCAGGACCAGAGTGAGGTGATGTAGCCAGACTGCAAAGTTCAAGGAGGTGGACTCTCAGATGCCTCACTCTTTAATTTTTATTACAATTTGGGTGAAAGTTTACAGAGCAAATTCATTTTCCATACAGCAATTCATACACATTTTGTTTCATGACATTTGACTACAATTCCCCACAGAGTAACACCTCTCATCCCACTTCCTCCTCATAGTTACCGCTTCCCTCCGTCCTGCATTCCCATGCCCTCCTGCCCCCCAGCTATCTCACTGTGCAGACACTGCCCTTCTGGTCTCCGCAAATTGAGACTGATCACTCCAAGGAGTGTATCCACCTGATGTAAATGTTCCAGATGCCTCACTCTTAAGGAGGTACTCACTCTCAGGGTCCTGTATATACAAGGTCAGCCCCTGGGAGAGAGTGCCTCCTTAAATTTTGCATCCTGGGCACTTGCCTTGCCTCACCTTAGCCCAGAAGGGAATGCTAAAAGGTACATGATGAATTCAGAGTATCTGCTTGTGAGGCTCATCTACGTACTGGAGTCTGTGAGGAGTGAATTATGACAAATGGCCTTGCAACAGGACATTTCTGGTACGTGTTGAGGATGGGTTCTGCCCAGAAGGCTGATTCTCATTCTTGTTTTTATTATTTACTTCCAGGAAGTAGGCAAAGCCAGGCAGAAACATTAAGTGGGAGGGTGGAATGTCATATTTTTTATTTTTGTAGGGCTGATACACATCTGAAATGGACAGTATTGAGATCCACCCAAGGGATTGCCCAACAGGTACTGCCTGGGAAATGCCCGTCAGTGCCACTGAGAGCCTCTTCTCAGACAAGAAACCACAGTACCTCCCATATCCTGGCCCAAGATCCCTTCTAATTTATATTAACTATGCAGAAGGCATAACTTTTTTTTAAAATTGTGATTTGAATGAAAATTAACAGAGCAAATTCATTTTCCATACAACAGTTCACACAGATTTTGTCTCATGATACTGATTGAAATTGCCCACAGTGTAACAGCTCTCTTCCCACTTCCTCCCTGTAGTTATCTCTTCCCTGTATCCTTGTTTCCTATGCATTCCTGCCCCCTGAGCTATCTCAATATACAAACACTGCCTTTCTGTTCTCCCATGATTGATCATTCTAAGGAGTGTATCTACCTGATGTAAATGTTCACCCTATATGCCTGTTTATTGTTTGGCTGGAAGCCACGGGAGTGAGTTCAATTCCAGACCTGAAGAGTAGCTAGGGGCCATAGTCTCAGGGGTCTCACCAGGCTCTTGCAGACCAGTAAGCCTGGTCTTTATTTTATGATGGTGAATTTTGTTCCACATTGTTCTCCCACTTTATCCAGGAATTCCAGCACTGATGCCTTTCCAAGTGGTTGACAGTGGTAGCCGGACACCATCTAGTTCTTCTCATCTCACAGTCATGTGGGCTGAGGATCACATGGCCTGCTAGTCCCTTGGACCAATTGTTTCCAGAGAAAGCATAACTTTTTAAGGCAATATTATATAGATGCCCATTCAGACATTTTTGTATTACCACTGTCACAATATGTGACCATGGTTTGACCACCGACATCCTCAGTTTTAAGGCTGTGCTGAAAGCAGCCATGGAAGGCTTAGAAGTAGAGTGGGTTTGGGTTTAAGGAGAGGGAGGGATTTGTTTATCATCTCAGCCTTGGTGGGTTCATTCTGTTTCCTGTGGCCAAATTGTTAACTGTGGTATGACCAGTGTAAGAAGAGTGTGGATATAGTGTTTTGTTTTGTTTACTTTTATTGTGGTGAAAACATAATCTCCCACATGGAGTCTGGTGGGACCCCCAATACTATAGCCCTGGGATACACTTTGGGCCTAGAATAAAACTTGCTTTCAGGGACTGGCTCTCAGCCCAATAGTAAACAAGACGTACACGCAGACCACTCAACCCAGGGTGACGCACCCACATACTCTATGGAGATACATCTCTTGGAGCAGTCAACCATGGGGCACTAGAGGGGCAACATTCACACAGAGGAAATGCAGGACACACAGGGGTGCATAACTATGAAGGGCACGGGAGGAGGTTTGCTCAGCAGGGTGGGGAGAGTGGGTTAGGGTTGGGGATGGTAATTGGGGAATGAAACCAAATGTACACAAAATGTTGAACGTGAAATAAACTCTGCTCTGTAAATTTGCACCTAAAGCACAATGAAAAAAATATATATACACCAACACATTCACCAACATAACAACTTACACATTTACAGCTCAGGGATATTGATGACATTTTTCATGTTGTGCCACCATTATTGCTATTCTAATACCATTAGCATAAATTCAATGGAGAAGAGTGTGGATATAACTTTTAGGTAAATAAAGAATGATTAACTGCAGTTTAAGAGTGTTTAGAAGTGTTAGGGGCCTTCATGTAATATATGGTTTACACTTTTCATAGAAGAGTAAATGGATTTGGCCCGCAGGAGTATCTTTGGGGATAAAATTAGGTTGGATCTCTGAGAGTTAGTTTCTGCACTACTATAAAGTCCGTGGGTGGCACAAATGGTTTGCACTGGACTACCACTGTATTTCTACACAAATAATGTGCACATTGTAAGATTTTGTGCAAACCATACAACCCCCTCACATGTTAATTTCCTACACATGCTATGTGTGCTAATGCATGGACGTGTTAATTATATGAGCACGTTATTTGTGAAAAAAGCAGTAAATCCAAAGGTTGGCAGTTTGAACCTACCCAGCAGCCCCTCAGAAAAGCATTTTGGTGATCTGCTTTCAGCCAAGAAAACACAGTTTTACTCAGAGACACATGGGGTTGCTAGGAGTTGGAATTGACTCAAAGGCAACAGGTTTGGTTTTTTGGTTTGTTTAAGGCAATCAGCCACCAGCCCAGACCCCTCATCACCCCCAGCAGGGCCTGACCACAGTGGGTGCAGGGTGCAAAAATAATAATAATTGTGTGTGTGTGTGTTTTAAAAGACATCCTTTTTGTTTCATTTCCTTAGAAATTTGTTATCAGATATTTTTTCTTTTTTCTTTTTTTAATTGTGATTTGGATGAAAGTTTCCAGAGTAAATTCATTTTCCATACAATGGTTCATACACACTTTGTTTCATGACGTTGTTTGCAATCCCCACAATGTAACAGCTCTCTTCCTACTTCCTCCCTGTGGTTGGTTACTTTTTCCCTATGTCCTTTCCTGTGCCTTCCTGCCCTCTGAGCTATCTCCCTGTGCAAATACTGCCCTTATGATCTCCCGTTTGATTTTTCTAAGGAGTGTACCTACCTGGTAATAAATATTCACCTTGTATGCTTGTCTGTTGTTTGGCTGGAAGCCACAAGAGTGAGTTCAATTCTTGGCCCGAAGAGTGACTATGGGCCACAGTCTTGAGGGTTTCACCAGTCTCTATCAAACCAGTAATCCTGGTCTTTATTATAATCTTGGGTTTTGTTCCATATTTTTCTCCTACTCTATGCAGGATCTCCTGCACTGGTCCCTTTCTGAGTGGTTGACAGTGATAACCATAACCAGGCACCATCTAGTTCTTCTGATGACAGGATCATGTAGGCTGAGGTTCACATGGTCCACCATTCCCTTGGACTACTTGTTTCCATGCATCTTTGGTTTTCTTCATTCTTTCCCCCTGATGAGGAAAGACCAGTTGTTGCATCTTAGATGGCCTCTTGCAAGCTTTTAAGGCCCCAGTTTCTACTCACCAAAGTAGAGTGTAGAACACTGTTTTTGTGTATATGTTATGCCAATTGAGCATGTTGTCCCCTGCAACCGTGGTCCCAAGCCTATGTGCCCAATAACTCGCTCCTTCAGGTGTTTGCTGTAGCTAAGAAGTTATCATAACTTTGCCCCCTGTTAAAACTCACTGCCCTTGAGTTGGATCCAACTCATAGTGACCCCTCCTTGGGTTTCCAAGGCCGTATCACAATGGAAGTAGATTGCCCAATCTTCCTTGCAAGGAGTGGCTGGTGGATAGCTATTATATATATGGATATTCTTATAGCACATATAAATACGTATGTAGAAATATTGACTGCCAAACTTATATATGGTCATAGGTATATTCCTTTTTCCCTAAGGAAAAGGAAGGAAGACACAGAGAGGTACACAAGGTACAGACAGC